CACGTCCGGCTCCATGTGTCTAATAAATCAAATCAGATAGTGTGTCATTGTTTTCTGTGTCTGCTTTATTTCTCTAAGAGTATAGCTGTTGAGATTTGTCTGTGTTGTTGCGTGTGCCAGTGATTTACTAATTTTTGTTGTTCAGTAATACTCTGTTTACATTTATTCTTGTTAATGGACATATGGTGTTTTCAACTGGCTTTTCTGTATAAGGCTTCGATAAATATTTGCATATGTCTTTGTGTGGACTTTGGCTCTCATTTCTTTGGCGTAAAATACCTAGGGAGGGATGGTTGGATCATTTTAGAACTGAATGCATAACTTTATAAGAAACTGCCAAACTTTTCCAAAGTGGCACTTGCGTCTAATGTTCCTGAAGTTGGTGTACTGCGTTTGATGACTTCACATACTTGCTAGTGCTTTTAAGTTTAGTGTGTGCATAGGGATATCTCATTGTGTTTTTAATTTGCATTTTCCTATAAGTAATGCTGTAAGTATCTTTGCATATTTAGGAAGGTTATGTTTAGCAGACTTTTTTTTTTTTTTTTTTTTTTTTTTTTGTTTTTCGAGACAGGGTTCTCTGTATAGCTTTGCGCCTTTCCTGGAACTTGCTTTGGAGACCAGGCAGGCCTCAAACTCACAGAAATCCACCTGCCTCTGCCTCCCGAGTGCTGGGATTAAAGGCATGCACCACCACCGCCCGGCATATTCTATTGATTCTAAAAACTTGAAAATGCCAGAGGCATTTGAAGTGAAAATTGCTAAACAAATTAGTGAAAGGCTAGAGCAGTCACTTTGTCCAGATCTATCTTGGACAAATCAGAGTGGGGATGTGGAAATTACCAGACTGGTAAGTGGACTAATGATGAGAACTGGAGAGATTGCTCCAAAGACTTGATCATGAGGCTTGGCAGGAAGCCAATTCTGTGACTCCGGTGGTCTTGGGAGATCTCCTTGGTTCTTAGCTAACCCTTACGTTTATGCAAAAGTAGACTTAGACTCACTGTTGTTTCCCAGGATGCCTGAGGAGTCACCAGGGAAGCTCTGCAGTCCTTTGTGAACTTCTTGAGTATGCCAGGGAAGCAACTGAACACAGGACTCCCTCTCTGGGGACAGTTTGCCTGAATCAGTTAATCAAGCTCGAGAAATCAGTTACCACAGGCCCAAGAATGCCACCACCCTTAAATTCTGAGACCCTGTTTCTCATGGCCATCTTTTTAAAAATTAATTGAGGCCATATCTCTGGAGTGCTCGCAACAAGCCAGTACTGATTTTATTTGCATACCAGAGATAACAGAGATGAAGGACCAGGAATACCCCTGTCCTGACCCAGAAGGGGACAGACCCTGCAAGGGAAAGCACTGGAGACACTCTTCTCATTCAGATGTGGGTGGAGAGAGGCGATCAGGAAGGATTCCTGAGCTCGTAGCAGCTAGTGGAGGCCCAGAATCGTGGAGGAGTTAGGAAGGCACACAGTGCTGGAGAAAGTGTTCCAGGCAAAGCAGCACAACAGTGAGGTCCCAGGATAGGCGAGATTGCCTCGTGTTCCTAGCCTGCGAGTCCTCCAGGGCGTTGCCAAGCAGGCGAGGGGAGGCGACAGCTGTGGGAGGCCCACCACGGAGGTTGGGTAAACCTTGGTGAGGACTCCATCCAGGGTGGTGGGAAGCAGGTGGAGGGGAGGCAAGTGCCATGTTTATTTGGCTTAGTCAAGTGCTCTGGGTGCTCTGTATCAAAGAGGAGGAGAATGGGGCGAGCCTGGAGCTAAGGAAGCTAGTTGGAGTTTCTACCTGTAGGCATACAGGATCAAGACAGGAGCGGCCTATTGAATGGCAAAGATTTTAAAGTGGGATCTTTTCCAGCCAGTGCCTGGAAATTCGTGCAGGGGCAGGAGCAAGTGTGCTGTGCTTTGAAACATTGAGAAATCCACTGCATCCGCTCGCCTTTTTTTTTTTTTTTGGTAGTGTTTGTGGTTTGTTCACTTCCTTGGAAAATTGATGTGGAAATGTCCCATTGCCTTTTGGCTTTTGTTACCTGGGCAGAAGGGCTTAGGCACTGCTCACCTCCCTTTGGGTAAAGTTGCCCTCAGCATCGATCTCTGTGTTCTGAGATCGAGGCATGGGTGAGAATTATGCAGGTGTCCAGGAAGTGCTGAGGTGGGCGGGAGGGGCTGGGCTGGAATGTCGCCTGTTTGCATATTGCACAACCAGAGAAGAATGGTTCCTCTAGCCTCATGACATCCTTCCGGTGTCCCTGGGGAGCCTGGGGTCCAAACTGGTTTCAGAGACTCAGAAACTCTCAACTGTTTTTTTCTTCTCTGATCTCACAGGCACCCTATGGGGCTGGGTTCTCTTCTCTCATCTCCTAAGCCTTGTGGAGGGCAGTGCTTTCTCCTCTTATGGCGTGAGTGTTGTGTAAGGCTCTGCTCTCTTCTCTTTCTCTGAACAGCTCTGCTCGGGGGTCAGGAAACAATTCCAGACATGGATTTGGCCCCATAGACCAATGCTAAGCTATTCAGAGGTTGTCTTTCCTGCTTTACCCACCCCTTACCATTCCAGAAACTAGAAATAACAGAATGTGCTCTTTGGATAAGATATAGCCATTTCTCTGCTGAAGGGTACCAGGAAAATCAAGAGTGGGAGTGTCTTAGTTTGGGTTTTATTGCTGTGAAGAGACACCATGACCATGGCAATTCATAGAGAAAGCATTTAATTGAGGGGGCTCACTTATACTTCAGTCCATCATCATCAAGATGGAGAGCATGGCAGTGTGCAGGCAGACATGGTACTGGTTACATCTTGGCTTGCAGGCAACAGGAAGTTGACTGAACACTAGGCGACATCCTGAGCATTGGAAACATCAAAGCCTGCCCCAAAGTAACATACTTCCTCCAACAAGGTCATACCCACTCCAACAAAGCCACACCTCCTAATAGTGACATTCCCCCTGAGCTTATGGGGGCCAATTACATTCAAACTACCACAGTGTGAGTCCTACTGATGAAAAACCGGAGTTTCTTTGGCATTTGAATTACACCTTGTACTGCATTCTGAACTTATTTCTATCACCTCGTTTAATACTTAGAATACCATAGAAGGTAGATACCCTTGTTAGAACAGCACCCCCTCGTTAGAACAAGGAACTTGGTGCTCAGAGAGCATAAATCTTGTTGCTTGTTGCGTTGACACAGCAGGCCTTTGGGAGTGAGTGCCTATCAGGGTCTTCCTGAGGGTTAGTTTTCCTTTTGTTACAGTGTATTGTATTCCAGCTTTTCCTCCATTTTACAGTGGGCTCTGAAAAACATTTCTGAACCCTATACCTCAGCTAAGTGATTCCTGGAGAGTGGCTCTAACAGGAGAAAAATCCAGTTAATTCTTGACTTCAGTATTTTAAGTGCCACTTAAAAATAATTTGGTCATCGGTCTGTCAGTGCTGTGAGTCCAGTTGGCATCTTTCAACAGGGAACTGCAAGCCAACTGGTACTGGCTAGGGCTTCTTCTTGATATTGGCATAAGTTGTCTTCTCTTTGCAGGGAGGAACTGTGGGTAGTCTGTGCCCTTTTTGGGTTTGCCGAGCAACAATAATGAAGGCTTTAAGGTTTAACGGTCTCAGAATTTCCAGTGAATTGTATCACTAATAAATGAATTGAATTAACCATTATAGGGCATCCATTTTTTCTGGACATGGTGATTTCTCCAACTATCTTTTTGTTTTTGTTTTCCCTAGAAATGTTTAATCTGAGTCTTTGTGTATTAGGGAACAAAAGGGTATCAGAAGGAACCACAGTGCTATCAGAAACCTTTGCACTGATCAAGATTGGAGGGCAGCTTTTGGTTGTCTCCAGGAATGGTTCTTGTATTCTTAGCACTTGATGCCAGATTTCCCACCTATTCACACTAGAAGGACACTAGAAGCCACAGTCATTGACAGTCATTTCCTAATAATGGCTTCTGCTGATGGCTTGTGACTGCCAACTGTTGACAGGTCCCTGCTTTAATAACCTGTGTGCCCCTCTTCCTTCCAGTACACCTCACTTTCCATCTATTCCTTAGCTTGCTTTAGCTGAATTCTTTGGAATTTCCCCAGCATTAAATAAATACATCTGGATAGTGGGTAGCTAGGACACATTGACTGTTGTACTGCCTGTTCGTGAAAACCCCTAATATGGTGAAACGGTCCTCCAGGGAGGCCTTTGGGACACTTGAGTAGAAGTGGCCATGTGCTCAGGTGTAGGTAGAGCATGGCACCCGTGTGCTGCGTATGTCCCCACCGTGGGAGCCTCCCATTTCACAGATGCCATGCCACCCTCAGGCCTTGGCTGGCTCTCTTCTCTGTGGGATACTGTTTTCTTTCTGCAGAGACGCATCATGAGGTTTGTCCTCATCACCTGGGAGCCAGGTGTTGGTGGCATTTCTTCCGTGCGTACTCACATCATCTAAGACAGTCCTCAGCTTTCCACCCTGGGAAACTGCCTTGCTAATGATGCCATTCATCACTTGAAGGACCCAGCTTTGTGGCCAGATGAAAACATTGTCCGTAGTGAATCTTAGGAAATGGTGTAAGTCACTCCAGGCTTGAGGGAGAATTTGTAGATGCTGCTGACATTTCCTGGTAGGATACATATGTTCGTAGGGAAGGGACTCAGGCCTCTGGGATTCCAGGATGCCATTTCTGGCCTCTCATTTGGCTGGCAGTAGTTGCTCTTTCAAATCTGTTGTCACAAACACATTTTTCATTCTTAAATGATCACATCAGTGGCACCCACGTGATGAGGACCATTGCATCTAGCTCCCAGCCTATAGCCAATAAGCTTCCTGGAAGCTCTGTCTGCCAGAGATTCTGGAGGTTAGCAGTCTAGTGTAACTCATGACCCTTTGACGAGGATCCAGGGCATAGTTCTGGGTGTTACAGGTGCCTGGTGAGAGGGCTGGAGCCACAGCTCCCCCAGGCATAGGGTTTCAGAGCCGTGACTGACATCTCTCTCCTCCTGCTTTATCTTTCAGTTAATGACCAGCCACAGCGTCACTGCTGTGTGCTCTGGCTGCTTCCTCCAGGGCTCGCGAGCCACACACACAGGTCGCTGTGGCTGCCAGCGGAGGTAACATGGCTTGTTGGCCTCAGTTAAGGTTGCTGCTGTGGAAGAACCTGACGTTCCGAAGACGACAAACAGTAAGCATGGGTTTCTCTATGGGGTTCTTGTTGCTTCCTCCATGGGGCTCATAGGGCTGGGGGTTGGAGGGGCGGGGGAGGAGGAAGGGTGTGCTCTTGGTTTTCACATGGTGGTTATGAATGAGTCTGGCACTTGTGGACTGTGTGGTTATGATGTGGTCCCATGGCTTAACATGGAGAGGTGTTTAACCAGGCAGAACTATTAGCTTGGGTTTCTGTTCCTGGGCATGAATTCTGACCTCTGCTATCTGGCAGATAATGACCCCCGATCACCTGATTGCCCCCCCCCCCCTTTTTGGTTTTTCGAGACAGGGTTTCTCTGTGTAGCTTTGGTGCCTGTCCTGGATCTCGCTTTGTAGATCAGGCTGGCCTCGAACTCACAGAGATCCGCCTGGCTCTGCCTCCTGAGTGCTGAGATTAAAGGCGTGTGCCACCATCGCCCGGCATGATTGTCTCCTTTTACTGAAGTTCTGGTAGCTACCTGGAGCCACCACCCACAAGCACCCTGTGGGCCCCCGTGTTTCTGTGAAGTGAGGTACTGAAGCAGCCCTAGAGATGTGCCTGGAGATCTCAGCATTAGGCTGGACTGCCTCCTTCAGCTTCGAAAGCAGCCTGGAAGGTTATAGTAACTGAGACCTGTCCTTGCTGTGGAGGTAGCCAAGCCACTCACTTCCCACGTGGGCCAGCATTTTTTGGAGTACTCGGACAAGCCCGCCATTGCTTTGTGGCGGGTGAATGTCCTTTGTCCATGGAGGAATGTGAAGCCTGTAGGGCAAGGTGAGCTCCCTGCGGTCAGCCTTCCCTGTGGTGCCTTTATCTCCCACCATTCTTTCCGAGTCTTCTCTTCTAGCCCTCTTGGCTTAACTACTTCTCTTTAGCTCACTTCTAAACCTGTTTCCTGTCTTGTACTTTTCTCGGACCCCAAGCCTTCATCCCCACTTGCCTATCTTTTTTTTTTTTTTTTTTTTTTGAGACAGGGTTTCTCTGTGTAGCTTTGCGCCTTTCCTGGAGCTCACTTGGTAGCCCAGGCTGGCCTCGAACTCACAGAGATCCGCCTGGCTCTGCCTCCCGAGTGCTGGGATTAAAGGCGTGCGCCACCACCGCCCGGCTCCACTTGCCTATCTTAATGACGTCCAACCTGTCCATAACCAAACCAACCTTCTGAAACCTCCAAGACCTGTGGTGAACCTCAGTCAGTGATTCTGAACGTAGACTACTCAGTGTCACTGGAAGTTCTTTTTTAAGAGAACATACCAAGGTATCCTTTTTTACTAATGTTTTGATTAGAAAGTGACTTAATTATGTAAGTAAAAATAGATTTAAACCCTGATGAGAGAACCGTCGTTTCCCATATAGATTTACAAATCAAGTGCAAACAAAATTGAGGACAACAGTGTTGCAATGCAAATTATCACCACAAGTATAGTAAGAACACTGACTTTGTTTAGCTGAAATCCAAACTATGAGTTGTCACATGAACTATGGTGGTGGATGATGCAATGCTGGTCATTTTGAATTTGGCCAGTCTATATGACTTTGTGCTAATGATTTAATTCTTAGTCAACGTTCTTCTTCGGCAACACTCATTGGTACGATTTGGTTTTCCTTTAGTTCGATGCTATCAGGAGCCTGTTACAGTCGGACAGTTGCGTACACTAATACAAACCCGAGCTTTGACGCCTTGTGCCAGAACTTATGCTAAAATAAGTAAATCCACATAAGTGTACCAGAATTTGTTCAGACTATCATTGAAATTGGAAACACTGAAAATGTAAAGGGTTTATGGAGAACCCAAGCATAAGCCTTCAAATGCTCACGTGAACCCCCTCCGAGAGAGAGAGAGAGAGAGAGAGAGAGAGAGAGAGAGAGAGAGAGAGAGAGAGAGAACTTCCAGTTTTAGAAAAGTTTTTGTTCAGCTTTTCATGTTACAAATGGGGAACTTGAACTTAAGGTCACTAGTGAGAGAACATGACTAGAATCTATATGTCTTTTCTTCTTAGGAATAATAGCAAAATATAATGCACATTACTATAGTACTACAATAAAAGAACATGATTAGAAGGTGCTTCTGTGAACTAGGCACGAAGTGTGGTATTTATTTATCTAGATTGCTGCAGGTTGACCCAGGCCTTGCACAGGCTAGGCCAGAGCTCTATCACGGAACGAATAGAGCTTATTAGTTGTATTAGTTATTCTTAAACCCCATGAGGTCCTGTTTCTTCTTATGGAACAGGTAGCAAATAGAGGTTGAGCAGTTTTCCAGAGGTCTGCATTGCTAGACTACAGGTAATTTGACGCCAGTAGTAGTATGTTAGACCGCCATTTATATGTTTTTTTGAGACCAGGTTTCAGGTAGTCAGGCTGACCTGAAACTCACTATGTAGCCAAGGCTGCCTTTGAACTCCTGATCCTCCTGGCTCTGCCTCCTGAGTGCTGAGATTACAGGTGTGTGTGCACCACCATACCCAGCCTTCTATTACCTTTTAATGGTATCATTTAATAAAAAAATTCTCTATCAAAAAATCTTGCCATTTCTGACTTGTCCGTTTCCTGACTCCCACACCTTGCAGTTCCTAGGTCCTGATGTTCCTAAGTCAGTTCCATTTGCTTTGATGCTTTGGCCCACATTCCCTGCCTTTCCTCAGCATGTCAACTTCCTACCTGGTGGGAAATTGTCTCTGCCTTGATGTGTCCATTAGCGAGTCACAGAAAGAAGCACCACTTTAGCAGTGAAGAGTGGGTCTTGAGGGTAACCTGTTCCAAACATCAGACTTTACAGGTAGAGAAACTGAGGCAAAGAGTGTGGAAGAGATCCTCAAGATCCATCAAGCAGAAGCCGATCTGGGACCAGAGGCTAAGCCCTTCTTCCTTACTCCAGTTCTCAGGGGCTCTTCTTCCCCTCTCCCAGTCCTTCAAAGACAGCAGCACCCAGTTTAGGGAAGGAAGAAGTGGCAGGGAGTGGGTTTCTGTGCCCAGGCAAGAAGGAGTCAGGAGCACACTGTCCAGGAACACAAGATGCAGGGTAGGGTCATTTCCCCTGAGCCAGTCTTTGCTGGATTCGAGCTTGTGGCTTCTTGCTCAGTGCTGTTTATACATTTAAAAATATTAGCATTAGAGAGATAGGCAGACTTAGTCTAAGGCAATTTAGGGAAGAGTTCTTGCTGAAGTAGGAAGTATGGACACGGTCCTGCACAGATGGCCTTTGTAATACACTACACCACTTCCTACCAGCCATCTGAGTCATCTCCCTTCCCGATTTCTAAAGTAAATCCATTCTGAGGAATCGGAAAGAAAAGCAGTTGATTTCAAGTCACAGATACTTAATGAGCAGAGCGGGTGCCAAGATCTGGCCTGCCTCTTGTACAGTTGATGGAGCCGGGGCTCTGATGGACACAGGGTCAGTCCTGAAGGTAACACAGGAACCCATCTCCTGGTGTCCTCACAGGCCGAACCTCTTAAAGCAGAGTTTTCTTTATCCTCAGCAACGGCTATGTGTAGCTACTGTCTAGTCCACCTGGTTATGCTGTTTAGGAATGGAAACTGTGTGGGTCTTTTTGGTACCATTTTCTTAACTCACAGAATTAGAACCATCCCGACCATTATGAAGGGGGTGGGGGAGTGTTAGAAGCCCTTGATAGCCTCAGTGCTTGGAAATGCATTGCATATTCCCCTGCTCCTGAGAGCATCTATATACATGGCCCAAAGCCCAGGACAGAGCCTGGCACTTATGACATGCATAATAAGAATTTGCCTGATGAGTGAGTGCTAAATGTATTTGCTGGTCTGTTATTTAAAAGTCTTGGAGCATCTAGGAGGGATAGAAAGATTATGTGAAAGTCTGGAGCTGAGCAGTGAACCCCAATGTAATCCCAGCTAAAGGTAGCTTCACCCTTGCGTCCTTGTTGCAGATGACTGTCATGGACCATCTCTGTCCTCTTAGTGTGCAGACTCATGGGGTCCATCAACCAGAGTTAGTTTTCCGGTGTTTCTATTGAGCAAAGAATACATCGAATTGAGTTGCAAAAGGGTACAAAGCTCAGTTTGGGTCCAAAGTGCTCAGCAGCTTGTGTGGGCAACAGTTATTCTATGCAAACAGGGACAGGAAAGGGGGTGGACTTCAGGATATCAGGATCTTCCTCTGACTTTGGGCTTGATCCAGAGGCCAAGGTCTCCACGAAACAGAGGGGACAAAGTGGGGTGACCAAGTGGACTCTTTGGTTTTTGCCTTTTAAGAGAAATAGCATACTCTAACTTTTAAATAACTTATCGAGTACTACCACTGGGGTAGTCAGGAATGAAAAGGAATAAACATGAAAACAATTAGAACTCCTCCATCCTGTGCAGCTCTTAGAGAAGTTCACAGAGCGTGTGGGAACTTCACCTCCCTCTCCTCTTTCCAGTGCCAAGGACATTTCTTCCCTGTCCCTAGTCCTGGCTCAGGAACCACAGTCATGGTTCTTATCCCAGCTTGGCCAGCCCTGTGCCTCGGTGGCTGTGGTCTTCTGTTCTATAGATGACATAAACTAGAACAAGTCCCTGTTGATTGTTTCACTTAGATAAATGTTTGCTTACCATCCATGACTTGTGGGGTATTGTGATGGATATGTAGTGGTAAACTAGGCAGGCTCCATATCTGTCCTTGTGGAGGTCAGAGTTTATTGAGGGAAGAGGATATGAAACGTACCAGCACACAACTGTCGTTACAACATCCATGTCAGGAGTAAAGCGGTGAACTGTTGCACTCAGGCATTGAGTAGGCACTTCATTTAGAATGGGAGGTCATGGCTTTCAAGCCTAGAGCCCCAGAACGGAAGCAGCTGTGTTAGCATGCGAAGATCAGGGGCTCAGACCTCAGAGGCCTTTTATCCTGGGCGGAGAGACTGGGCAGGAATGTGTTTCTCGCTTAAGGAGCAGAAAGAAGCCAGAGGCACTGGCTCACTGAAGGAGGACTGGCTGGAGATGAGTTGGGGGTAGACAGGGTCCAATCATACAGCTAAGGA